GTACAGTGCTTTCCAGATAAGAGCTGGTTGCATTTAGGAGATGTTAAAAATTAAGTAGTACTCAGGGCACCTGGGCAGCTCAGTCAGTTAGGTGTCTGACTACAGCTCAGGTCATGATCTAGGGGTCCTGGGATTGAGCCCCACATCAGGATCCCTGCTCAATGGAGAGTCTGCTTCTTCCTCTCCCTCTGACCCTCCCCTGGCTCGTGCTCTCTCTCTGTCAAATAAATAAAATTTAAAACAATGAAGCAGTACTCTTATCATTCAGCTTAGAAAAGGAGAATAGAACAATCATTTTATTTCCTATTGCTTTCTTCTATGCAAACTCAGTGCTGGAATTCAGTAAGGTCTCTCATGGGCACAGAGGCATCACAAGACATACTATCTCCAATCTCTTACCATGGGTCCTTCTAACTTAGGGGTAGTGGGATGGGAGGAACAGAGAGGAAATGCCTGCCATCCTCCCTGCCCCAGTTTGACAATGGTTCACTCCATGAAGGTAGCAAACGTCCCACTCCACTCCGCTGCCAACAAGATGAAGTCTCAGTGTCTGTGGTGTGAGCCTTTGCATGACTCCTGCATTCTTAGGCATTCCTATTTGGCTCCTCTCTTTGAAACCTCAGAGTGCCTGGCCCAACCCAGCACTGGGCTGAGCTCAATCACACAAACCACTCAGATCACGTTGCACTGCTGGACTGTCTGCTCCCAGGGTTACCTCCCGACGGTACCTCCTGGAGGGGAGAGACGATGTTCCCAGTCTGGCAGGTGTTCGTTTTCACACCTGGAGCCCATTTTCACAAAGGAAGGGCATTCTCTTGGCAAAACGTCTTGCGGGTTTCCATTTACATAGCCTGCCCCTTGAACAGAAATGACCTGATACACAGAAAGGTGCAGCAGAAGGGCAGCTGGAATTCAAAAGCTGAACCCCAATGCAGAAGCCGCATTTGGAGAAAACGGTGTCTGGAGATGAACTCTGCAGATACGGACTGCCATCTTCCAGACACACAGAGCCGAGTCTTTTCTACCAGTCTTCCCCGCAGCATTTCACAAGAGAATTAAGTACTGAATGCATGTTGTCTGAGTGAAATCAAGAAGACCCCTGAGCCCATAGAACTCTAAGCATAATCGGCTTGCTGTCCCTTTCAAATGCTATTTGAAAAAGTCCCTGTAGAGGGGAGCCTGAGCATCTGACTCTTTGTTTCAGCTCAGGTTATGATCTCAGGGACGTGAGATCAAGCTTGACGTCGGCTCCGCACTCAGCGGGGAATCTGCTTGGGACTCTATCCTTCTCCCTCTGCCCATCCCCCCGCCCCGCCTCTCCGCTCACACAAATGTATTCTCTCTCTCTCTGGCTCTCTCAAATAAATAAATAAATCTTTAAAAAAAGAAAAAGTCCCTGCATCAATGTAGGAACTGCAATGATACCACAATCTTTCAGCCAAAGGAGAAGCATGTAACTACATGTCGTGACAATTTGGGGGGAATCTGTCTAGATGCGATGTCCTACATGAGAATATAAAATATACAGAAAAACACCGACTCTATAAAAACCTTGAAATAAAATTAGATTCTGTATTCTTTTGGTGACAAGTAATAATCTTAACACCTGGTCATTATGGTACTTTGTTATCTTGTAGGGACTTCTGTGTTAGAGAAACTCAAGAATGTCTTTCTTATTTCCTCACAGTAAAGCTAAAAATAAAGACATTGGGCTGAGACCAATGGCATTCAGTTTCCATTCTGAAAAAAAGGTGAACCTGGGTAGGTTGCCACATACAATGAAGTTAAAAGAAGACACAGTGTCCTCTAGGTAGGTGGTCACAACTGCACTCAAACATCCTTATAAGAAGTGGAGCTCAAGAGAAGAGATTCTCCAATGTCAATATCTTTATATCCCCTAAATTAACCACAGGCTTCCCAAAGCAAATGCAATGTTTGCTTAGAGATGGTGAATTTTATTTCATGCCATTGAATATTTATAACTTAAAACACCCCTACATGTATATTGTGTACCTTTGTATCAACGTCCCCCTTCACCACCAAGACTGTGAGCTCTTGAAAGATAGGAACCATCTCTCACCTGCTCTCTATAAACTACACAGTGGCTCAAATGCCATGTCCTCCACAAAGCCTTCTGTGATGCCATATCCTCAATGGAAGATAATCTCCCTGCAGAACCCCACTGGGTCAAGCATTAGCACTACTCTTTACCTCAAGATTTGAGCACATTCTCAGCCCTTTAAATATTTCAAGCCTTTGAGGAATTAAAAGAAGCTCTTTCTCACCAAACAGCTGGGACTGATGTCCTAAATAATCAGGACTCAAAGCTAGCCAAGAGTAGACACATATTAATCAAGCTAAATTACAGTATGGCCATTTTTCTTCTTGTATGATTATCTTTGGCTTTAAGACACAAATGAATCATTGGGGTTCTGAATCTCTTCTGGCAAAGAAAGACAGCGTGAGCTGAATGCTCAACATTGAGAGTGTCATCAGAACAGTTCTATAGATATGAATTTGCCAAGGTAATCCCCCTTCATTATCTCCATTAGCTAACAATGTATATGTAGTCACGGCACATAATTACTGCTCTAACAGACAGGGACGTTTGAAATATTAACTTTCCCACAGACTCCAAATCTTCAGTAAGCAGCTCTCAACAATTCATTATATTAATCATATATGTCGCCACACTCCCATTAAATATGCATGAGATTAAACACCACTCATGTTGCAAACGGCCCAACATCATTTTTAATATAATTTGTTACGTTTTAGATACTGTAATTATAACGGCACCTAGGTGCTGCTATAATAAATGGAAAGTTAACTACCTGACCTGTAAGTAACCAGTATTATAACTAATTTCACTTTAATTCAATTTTCAACATGCATTCATGAGAATATTTTATAATATGAAGTATATAAAGTATTTATAAAGTTAAATGTATTATGACAGGGGATGTCTAATTTAAAAATTGCATAAAGAAGGGAAAGAAGGAATAAATTGATTTTCTTAGACTTAGGAATTTTGGACAATGGAAACTTATCAAGAACTTAGCATACAATATACTGACATCTGTAAGAAAAAGTACAATGGAAAGTATGATTTGGAAGAGTATGATGTCATATTTCCAATCAAATACTTTACAGACTTTATAAATTCTATGTTTACATAAATTATTGCAGCAAAGACTAGATTTGATCCAAAAAAGGAAACATAAAACCTACCAGAGAAAGACAATAAAGTTTCAAATCAAGGTGAGGAATACATCCTTAGCCTTGGATCATGTTATTCAAAACATTATGGTTAATATGTCCACAGATTATTGAGTTAAGCATATAACAGAAATAATAGTAACAGCCATGGTTCACACTGAGCAGCATGTACTTAACTTATTATGTCAGCACCAGAATTAGAACTTTACGTTCATATCTCATCTAATTTTCACATTAACCCAGTGAAGGAGATATTAATATTATTTGCGCTTTATGGATATGGGCAGTAGAGACTTGCACGGCATAAATATCTCATCCAAGGACACAGGGTATGGCAGGAGGTGGGTCTGACCCTGAGTCTATCCTCCTAAACACAGATAGCATCCAGATGCCAGCTCTGGTTCCAGCATTTCCTTGTGTGGCCTTGGGTAAGTCACCCGAACCCTCTAAAGTTCATTTCTTTTAGCTGCAAAATGCAAGTAATATTAATATATGCCAGAATGACTGAGAATGAAATAAGAGGACTTACCAGAAAGTACCATACAACTTGTGGAGCAACATAATGCTGCTTGTTATGTTATCGATGAGATAAGAAAATAAAATGTTGAAAATGAAGTAAAATTTGCACACTGACATAGAGTCAAAACCTTCAACAGGGGTGCCTGGGTGACTCCATCATTAAGCGTCTGCCTTTGGCTCAGGTCATGATCCCATGTCTTGGGATCCCACGTCCTAGGATCCATGTCCTGGTATCTCAGGTCCGGGAATTGAACCCCAAATCAGGCTCCCTGCTTGATGGGAAGCCTGCTTCTCCCTCTCCCACTCCCCCTACTTGTGTTCCCTCTCTCACTGGGTTTCTGTCAAATAAATAAATAAAATCTTTGGAAAAAAAATTTTTTTCCAACAAAAACGGTATACCTAGGTAAATATCTCTGGTTGTTTTAACTTGTTTACCATAGAAATTACTGCATAAAGGCAAATACGAATCAATATATTACCTCCTAAGAGACAGAGAAGCCCTAGTAGATTATGTTGGAAGTGAACAGTAACGCTAGGGCTGTCGATGTTCACCATGAAAACTCTGTGCATACTACTGGATTTGGCCTTTCAAAGAGCTCCTCCAGACTAAAGCTTTTTGAAGTTACCTGGCGTCATCATCAGGCCCTAATTTACTGTGATCCGCACATACATTTTGATTACTGGCAATATTTAAATCCTTAGGCCCAGGAAGGAAAAGAAATATTCAAAAGTCTCATTCATTATTTTAGGTAAGTGATATGTCATTGCTGGCCTTCTCTTTCCATAGGACTTTAAGAAATTATTTCAGGTGTCTTATGTCAACAAAGATCTCAAAAGGAATGCTTAAAAATTTAAGATCAAGACACTGGAATTCACCAAGGTTAATAATGATAAGAAATCTCTATTTCTATACATCAGTGTGTCCGTGTGTGTGTGTGTGTGCATGTGTGAGCATGCAGAAGTCTACTGACAACATAGACTGTTAGGTATTTAGTGGCTTTCCACTTTTCTTTATGTTTATATTGTCAATTATTTAAAGGAAGTGTATATGGCCAAAATAATAGTAATGGGGACAAAAGGGCCATATATTTCCAGCAATTCTTTTATTCACTTTCAAGGTGCTCATGTCACTAGATGAAGGAGGAGGGAAGCCTTTATTTGCATAAATCCACGAATATACCAAGTCACGTTTCCAAACATCCTGACTCGATTTTAAGAACAAAGAAAATCATAAGAATATATGGAATCAAGGCCCAACCTACCTCCCGGCCGTTCGTGCTCTCCATCAGTGTGTAAAAGCATGGCGATGGGCATCCCTACATTCTTGGATCTTCCAGCTACAACCACATTTTTCCCAAATGTTTCAATTCCTTAAAACATAGAGTTTGATTTAAATGAAGAATCAACAATAAGAAGCAGATTAAACATTTGAACAGCCAACTAAAACATTCTTTAAAAACTTCTAATTAAATCTGCATTATTGTGTGGCTTCTCTATAATGTGCCACATTCGTTATTTATGAATATTCTTTTTACGCTTCACAGATTTGTCACTTCCTCTGTAATTGTCCTTGTTAAAAAACTACACTTTCAAGTTGCCATTAAACTGCTTTTAAACATGGAGATTCACATGAAGAGATAGACATGAAAAGACTTAAAATATATTAACTACTAATTATAAAGTAAGCAAAGTACAACAATGTTGAGCTTAATTGGCAATCAAACTTTCAGCAAATCTGGAACAAAATGAAGTGGAGGAAAAGTGTATTTTTTTTTTTTTTTTAACAAAGCTCATGCCCTTTACCCCATCTGAAAGAGGTACTAAACTTCAGGGACTCAAAAAGTTAGGAAAGATAAAATTTTTAGATATAACACACTCTACTTGGTTTGGGCACAATTGATTCGTAAATAAAATGAAGAAGTTAGAATTAAAGTTTTTATAAGTAGTAATGTCCTAAGAGGATGGTGCTAGAATCCATCCTAGAAAATAAAAGGAGAAGATGTGGTCAGAAACAGAAGGGACAGTAAGAGAGGCAGGACAGTCACAAACATAAAGGCAGTATAAGTTAATTAAAGTAGAGACAAACGTCTCTCCATACACCTCAAGGGTCTGAGGGAGTATTAATGTATTTAGAGCATAATTCAAATGTAAATGCCTATAGTAAAAACCTAGGTCATTAGAGATGGCTCCAATATGTTCATCACATTTTGTTTTTAAAGGTAAGGAAAACCACAATTCATTTTGGAAAATGCACATTAAGTGTATAATTTAAAAGGAGGGAGACAAACCTACTCTTGGGAAAACTCACTCCTACAAGGTACAATGGCAGTTACCTGTAACCTGGCATGCGCTCCTCATTTTACTCAATTTTGGATTATTCTTTGACTTCTAAAACTTTACAGCTTTCTACGGACTGAGGTTTTATGGCTTGTCATTTTCTTTCTTTCTCAGTAGGGAAACGGTTCTATCGGGACGCTGCACAGATGCGTCCCGTGGACCTCAAGTTACCAACCTGTCCTCTTGATGATTTCCCAGACAGCACTGGCAGTGGCAGGTATGAGAGAATGCTGGTCAAGGCACAGTCTTCCAACGTTGACGATATGAAATCCATCCACATCTTTTTCAGGGGCAATTCCATTGCACACGGTTCGCTCGTCCACATGGTCTGAAACGTAAATAAAATTGGTCTAACTTTAAAATGGTCATTTATTTGGAAGTCTTTCCTTGAAATCTGAAGACCACATTATGATTTGGCTTCAGGAAAGATATAAAATCATCACTCTGTTCTTATCCCTTCCACCAAAACGGTAAGCCAAAGTGTGCTTGGCTGACAGCTGTAATTAACCACCGCAAGAGTTTAGGGCTGGTGTGGTGAGAGGGGAAATGTGTGAAATAAAACAAAGCCAATGAAAACTGGAAACAGCCAGGTCCTAAATCTTTGCCTCAATAAGTTTACCTACTTAGCGGTTTAAATCTATGTTTTTCCCATACAAGACATTTCCATGAATAGGCTTCTATTAAATATTTCCAGCATTACAGATTAAAAGGGTCTTGTTGGTATTAAAGTAATCATAACATCATTAATGTGCCTAACTTCCTCCCAAATGACATAACAAAAAAGCAAATCACACAGACACACACACACACGCACACACACGCACACACACACAGAGGTCTCCTTTGTCTGAAGCACTAGCACACTGATATCCAAAAATACCATTTTGGTTTTCTATTTGGAAGGAAAAAAAATAATAAGAGTAATAAACTAATCAAAAAAGACAGGAAATGCCAACCATCATTTCATTTTGAAAAGTAGTAAGTAGAAGTAATAAAGCTTCCCCCAAACCCTACAATAAGCCCATGTGCCTAATATACTGAAATAAAGGTATTATTTGCTACATAGAAGTTTCTTTGTTCATCACACAATGGATGTCATTTAGATATAATTTTTAAGAACATTATCAAAGCCCAAGTTAAAATTGTTCTCAAAGAGCTATGCCTTGTACCTTAGATCTTCTGTATTCTAAATGGGATACTGCCACCATTTTACTTTAAATTCAATTTGCCAGCATGAAACTCCAAAGTTTCTTACAGATACACCAGTAGTAATCTGAATTATGTTCATACAGAAATTGGGTCTTTGTGAACAATCAACAGTTGTCGATGCAGACACTTAACGACTGAGCCACCCAGGTGCACCACAAAATGCATCTCAAAGTATAGTCCTATTGCTGCTATTTAAAAAAAAGTTATCCGGAAAACACTGGGGAGTCACTAGACACAGACAGATCTGGACATCTGAAAAACAGGAATGGCACTCAGAGAATTGCCCATTTTGGAGGCTTTCCTAGACATAGGACAGCTAGAACTTGGATAGACATCTGTGGTCCTACGTGCTTAAGGAATCAAGGCACAAAGTTTGAGACTATCACAGGAGCTGAAAATTGAAGGGATATATCCAGAAAAGGAGAAAGGTACAGAGTAGAGCCTCAAAGTGTTATCTATAAATTCTGCCCAATTCTCTGACCCCTAATCAACATACACATGAGAAAAACTCCAAGAAGCCCATCAAGGCTCAGAGAACTACACAGAGATTGCACATGTAGTTCAGCAAAAGCAAAGCAAAACGTGAAGTCCTCAATGTGATAGGCATTTACAAAAAAACTTACAGGGTGCCTGGGTGGCTCAGTCAGTTAAGCATCTACTTTTGGCTCAGGTCATGATGCTAGAGTCCTGGCATCAAGTCCCTCGTCGGGCTCCCTACTCAGTGGGAGTCTGCCTCTCCCTCTACCCTTCCCCCTGGTCTCTTTCTCTCCCTTGCTCTCTCTCTCTCTCTCTCTCTCTCAAGTAAATAAATAAAATCTTAAAAAAAAAACAACAACAAAACTTATAGCTAACTTATACTTAATAATGGAATACTCAATCTTTTTCCTCAAGAAAAGAAGACAAGAGTGTCACTCCCACCATTACTATCCAGTGTTTTACTGGAGATCTTAGATAATGTGATAATACAAGGAAAATTAAAAAGAGGCCTAAGATTGGAAAGGAAGAACTGAAACACCCTAGCCACAGACGGCATGGTTATTAATGCAGAATATCCTAAAAAATTAAAAAAAAATAAAAGAACTGATAAAGTGGATTTTGCAAGACCACAGAGTACAAAATCAAAATCAATACAAAAAAATCAATTATTGGGACACGTCGGTGGCTCAGTCAGTGAAGCCTCTGCCTTCGGCTCAGGTCATGATCCCAGGGTCCCGGGATTGAGTTCCGCATTGGGCTCCCTGCTTAGCAGGGCATCTGCTTCTCCCTCTACCTGCTGCTCCCCCCACTTGTGCCCTGTCTCTCTCTCTCTGACAAATAAATAAATAAAATCTTTTTTTAAAAAATCTGTTGTAGGGGCACCTAGGTGGCTCAGTGGGTTAAAGCCTCTGCCTCCGGCTCAGGTCATGATCCCGGGGTCCTGGGATGGAGCCCCGCATTGGGTTCTCTGTTCAGCAGGGAGCCTGCTTCCTCTTCTCTCTCTCTGTCTGCCTCTCTGCCTACTTGTGATCTCTGTCTGCCAAGTAAATAAATAAAATCCTAAAAAAAAAAAAAATCTATTGTATTTCTGTATATAAGGAGTGACTAATTGAAAATGAAATGTTAAAAATACACCTTACAATAGTTAACCAATCATAACACACTTAGGAGTAAATTTTTAAAGTTTGAGGGTGACCTCTACAATGAGAACTAGAAAACATCACTGACAGATGACCTAAGTAAATGGAAGGTATGCTGTGTTCATGGACTGAAAGATTCAATAGTGTTAAGTTGTCAATTCTTCCAAATTGATCAATAGCTTCAATGTAATCTCAATCATAATTTTATGAGGTTTTTTGGTAGAGGCTGACTGATTCTAAAATTTATATGACCAGGCACAGGAAAATCCAAAGCAATCTTAAAAGTGAGTGAAGTTGGAGGACTCACAACACCTGACTTCAAGACTCGCTCCACAGATAACAGCAATCAGGATGGCATGGTACTGGTGTAGGGATAGGCATATACACCAGTGGAACAGAATAAAGAGCCCAGCTTTAGATTCACACTTACACAGTCATCTGATTTTTTATAAGATGCTAAAGCAATTCAATGGAGAAAGGAAAATCTTTTCAACAAAAAGCACTTGAACAACTTGACAGCCATACTGGGGAGTGGAGGGGAACTGAACCCTAGTAATCTCTACTTCAGAGAATACAGAAAATTTTATTACAAATGGATTATAAATCTAAACATAAAAGCTAAAACTGAATAGTTTCTGGGTGAAAACTTTAATTTGTGTGCTAGATACAGGCAAAATTTTCTAAGAATACAAAACGTAAAGGACAAAAGAAAAAAACTGATCAATTCAGCTTCAGAAACATTAAAATCTTATGCCCATGAAAAGACACCATTAACAAAACGAATACCAAGCCAAAGACTGGGAGAAAATATTTGCAAAACCCGTACCTGACAAAGAACTTGCATCCAGTTATATAAAGAACTCTCAAAACTGAATCTTAAAAAGAAAATAAATCAATTTTTTAAAATGAGTTTAATACACAAGCAGGCATTCTACAAAGGAAGGTATTCATATGGGAAACATGCATGTGGGAAAACAAACAAACAAACAAACAAACAAACAAACACAACAGACCAGCGGTTCCCTAGGAATGAGGATGAAGGTAGGTACAGGGACTGACTGGAAAGGAACATGAGAAAACTCTCTCAATTCATAAGCAAAACAAAACAAAACACTTGTTATTCTGATAGGGGTTTAAGTTACATGAGAGTTTACATTTTTTTTAAACTTAAGAAATAGTACGCTTAAGATGTGTGCATTTCAATGCAACATAAATTTCACCTAAAAACATGCATATTGATCTGTAGTTAATGATATGCACGCTGAAGTTTTAGGGACACACTGTGTGTTCTCACCTTTAAATGCTTCAAAAACAAGATGGGTTGATAAATGAACAAATGGGTAGATACATGACAAAGCAAAATAGCAACATGTTAACAATTATGGAATCTTGGTTGAGATTATATGGGTGTTCTCTGTACCATTCTTTTAACTCTTCTATACATTTGAAGTTTTTCATAATAAAATGTTGAAAAATTACAACCAAAAATTACAACAAAAATACAACCATTCCCCAACATCTTGATCCCCTTTACTATGCTCTCCTCTTTTTCTCACAGCACATCAACTTCTAATAAATATAAACGGATATTTATTACATTTATTTTCTATTGTCCATCTCTCCTGCTACTCCACGAGGAAAGAAATTTTTGTCTTTTTGTCTTTCTTGCCCTGATGTATTCCTACCACAAAGAACAGGGCCTGAGACAAGAGGGACTCGATAAACATTTGTTGCATAAATGATTACTATTATTATTGACTCATAGAAAAAAACTAGACAAAATCAGGGGATAACCAAGAACAATTAGAACAGGCCACCATAAGGAAAAGATGTCTGATCCTTCTAAAACCTCTGACATCCATCCTTTAAAAACATAATAAAAAACCAAAGGTCGCTTTCATTAAAATCTTTATTTGTCAGTATCTTTGTGTCAACATTGTTAAGTAACTGGCATTTTTACATCTTCCAATATAAAGCTGAAGTAAAAGACTCATGTTTGTCTGTTCTTTATTGATTTCTTCCTTTCAGGACTTGAAAAGTCAGAAATTTAAGGCAAAGTTTTATGCTTAAAGACAAAGTCCACACTCTGAAGACGAATATAGACCCTTGAAAATGTGCTCATTTATTCACTCAATAAATATTTACTGGGTGTCTACCATGTGCCCAATATTGTTCTAAAGATTTAGGATACATAGCGAACCAAAAAGACAAAATTTTTACCCCCTGGAGCGTATATTCTAATGGAATAAATGTCTTCCTAATCAAATTATTTAGCTATTGTCTCTTAATGAGTTAATTATTTTGTAGAAGTAAATAAGGGAGATACTTCTGGAAGCCGTGTTTCCTGTTCTCAAGCCAATAAGAAATATTTAAATCCTTTGGGTTCCACATCAAGGTTTTGAGACAGAAAATACTTATCAGGTGCTAAGTACTTGCCCAACATCATTTAAGAGTTGTTTCATCATTGAGGAGCGAGGGGACAAAAAAGGAATGGGAATTGAGT